CCTGCCTCAAGCAAATAAAGTACTTTACTATGGCCCTTAGTCTTTCCCCAAGCTCTTCTTGAGGCAAGTGACAGAATAATGCCTACTTTCATGAGCATCAGTGAGTCACAATTTAGGGCCAGAAGGGACAATTAGATCATCTTCTAGACCAGGGGCGGGGAACCTACAGGTGCCTCAGAGCCCCTCCCCCTGGCCAACTCTTAGGTTTTTTTCCTTATTGGGAGCCATGTCAGTGAATTTTTGTTTTTGGCTTCTCTCTTGTATGTGGACCTTTACCTAGAAAAAGTTCCCCACCCCTATTCTAGACTGACATCCTGATTTTTATATATCATAGGCCATTACATTTCACCTGGGTATTACTGTATTGACCTAATAATTCACATTTGACTAAAGCACGATTTCATGTCTTGCAGAAAGGCATTCAATCTTGATGTGCAGACCTTGAAAATGAAGAAGCCACCGTTTCCCTTTGTAACATGTTTCAATGCTGGTTAATCACTCTCACTACTAAAAACTTGTGCCTAATTTCTAATTTGAAGTTGTCTGGCTTCATTTCCAATCATTTATCAGAGGGGTAGCCATGTTAGTCTGGACCTGCAAAAGCAACAGAGAGTCCTGTGGCACCTTATAGACTAACAGATTTATTGGAGCATAAGCTTTTGTGGGCAAAGACCCACTTCGTCAGATGCATGTAGTGGAAATTTCCAGAAGAAAGTATAAATATGCAGGCATATTTATATACAACCCATCCTAGACAATGATTCCTCACTTTCACGGTCCTTGGGAGGCAGGCCAGTCCTCGCACACAGACAACCCACCAACCTAAAGCAAATTCTCACCAGTAACTATACACTGCACCACAGTAACTCTAACTCAGGAACCAATCCATGCAACAAACCTCGGTGCCAACTCTGCCCACACATCTACACCAGCGACACCATCATAGGACCTAATCAGATCAGCCACACCATCACTGGTTCATTCACCCGCACATCTACCAATGTAATATACACCATCATGTGCCAGCAACGCCCCTCTGCTATATACATCGGCCAAACTGCACAGTCCCTACATAAAAGAATAAATAGACACAAATCAGATATTAGGAATGGCAATATACAAAAACCTGTAGGAGAACATTTCAATGTCCCTGGACACACTGTAGCAGATTTAAAGGTAGCCATCCTGCAGCAAAAAAAACTTCAAGACCAGACTTAAAAGAGAAACTGCTGAGGTACAGTTCATCTGCAAATTTGATGCCATCATTTTAGGATTAAACAAAGTCTGCGAATGGCTAGCCAACTACAAAAGCAGTTTCTCCTCTCTTGGTGTTCACACCTCCAGATCAGCTGCTAGAAGTGGGCCTCATCCTCCCTGACTGAATTAACCTCGTAATCACTAGCCTTATTCTTGCCTGCATATTTAGATCTCCTTCTGGAAATTTCCAGTACATGCATCTGACGAAGTGGGTCTTTGCCCACGAAAGCTTATGCTCCAATACATCTGTTAGTCTATAAGGTACCACAGGACTCCTTGTCATATTTCCAATATTATTTCTTTCTATGCCTTTTTCCTCTAGAATAATAAGATCTTTAGTGCCCAGCATTTTCTCTATGTGCAAGTTCTTATACACACTACGATCAAGTTGCCTCTAAATTGTCTTTTTAATACATTATATAGATTGAACTCTTCACATCTCTTCCTGGAAGGCATTTTCTCTAGCCCTTCAATAATTTTTGTGGCTCTTTTTTGCAACCTCTTCAATTTTGTACCCTCTTTTAAAAAACGTGGACTTCAAAACTATATGCAGTATTGCATTGTCTGCCACATGCAATTCCACATGCAGAGATGAAAATCTCCTAATTCTACTCCCATTTATACCTTCAAGGATCACATTATTCCTTTTCACCATAGCATCACACTGGCAGCTCATGCTGAACTGCTTGTCCACATAATCCCTAGATCCTTGTCAGAGACCCTGCTTTCCAAGAAACAGTCCACAATTCTGTAGGTCTGGCATGCCTTCTTTGTTCTTCAGTACACAACTCTGCATTTGGCTGCATTAAAACACAGATTACCAAGCCATCCAGCCTGTTCTGCATGACTACCAATTCGTCATCATTATTTCCTCTGCCCCAATCCGTGTGTCATCCTTTTATGAGCAATGATTTTATATTTATTTCCAGATCATTGATTACAATGTTGATTAGCATAAAGCCTACTAGCAAGCTTGATGGAACCCCCCTTAAAAACATCCCCATTCAGTGACGATTCCCCTTGGCTAGCTCCCCGTTGAGATATGTCAGTTCTTTACGCCATTTAACGTGTGCTGTACTGATAGTTGTATACTGCTAGTTTTATCTTTAGGAATGTTGTGTGGCATCTCAAAAACCCTAGGAAAGTCCAGTCTGCCTAATTTATATGGCATTACTGAGAAACTCATGCTCGCCAACAAACACCTTCCCACCAGGCACCCCACGCTGTGTAACAGCTCTTCCTCATTGTAACAATGGAGACTGATTCCTACCATGTGGCAAGGGTATGACTTTTTATAGCCTTTACTTGTATCAGGTAACTGGGAACAGAAAATAAAGATCAATCTGTTACCAGCGCTCCCCTGTACCATGCCTTTAACTGCACGCAAGGAAAACAGTATTTCCTGTAGATTAGAAATAAAGGACTGGCAGTCACTGCTCCTAAATTATATTTTCAACTCTGACCACTTGTGTGATCTTGGTCAAATTACGTAACTGCTCCACGCCTCAGTTATCCCATCTGTTAAAAGGGGTTAATATCTACCTGTGAAATGTGCTACAAGGTGCTTGATTATAAAGTACTTCAGAAGTGTGATAAATGGGAGACTAGGCAGAGGAAAAGAGGGTTGGAAGGTCAGTTTGGGCCTCTTTTCTTTTAAGAACTCCAACTTATCCCACTTTTTAGAAGCCAGAAAAACTTCCCTAAATCTTGACATAGCGTTCCCACTTGCCTTGATCTTGACATAGTGTTGCCTACAGGTCCTGCCAAGCCCTAACAAGCTAACTTGTTCCAGCCTTGCTATAAAACTAGTTCTGACCATTGCTCTGCAGACCACTGTGAAGTTCACACCCATTTTGTTTAACAGTAGCATGGAGAGGGCTTTCCCTGTATGATTGGTACACCCTGCAATACTTTTCTACAGAAACTCCCTCTAAAAATCTAGACTACTCTGCAGACAATAGTGGCTACTGGTTAACTGATTGCATAAGGCCTTTTTTAGTAGATTTTGTTTGCATTTGCTTATTTAAAGGTATTAAGTTTCTCAGTTCCACAAGCAACATCTAGAATAAACAAATCGAAGAAGTTCAATTTTCTTGCAGCCACTGCCTTTTGAAACTGTTTTGTTTTCTTTTCTTTAATTATCAGAACAATGTGGCTTTAACTACTACTGTAAAATGTTCATTTTAGGACATAAAAACTCGTAAAACAAGATCATTGTAAAAAAACAACAATTAAAAAAACACCAGGCTAGGTGTCTTGCATAGTTTTTCTTAGCATGGAGTATTATTGTTCCATGGGTCTGACTCTAAATGAAAGACTTCTGATGAACACGGCTACCTGATAATGTCTTATGCATTCCAAACCAGTAGAGGGTAGATTTTAATTGTGTACGAAGTACTCATAAAAACACAATACAGAACTCTCCAGAGCTTTTGGGGAGCTGAGGACTCTGTACCCTGTTGAATGGGGCACTAGGAGAATAAGTGGTTTCTGGAGATTTTTTTACTATAAGGAGAGCTTTGTACAGAAGCCTGTTTACACAGACAGAGCCTGGATGGAAGTGCTGTTGAAACAGATGACTGGGCATGTTTGTGTTAAATGGCCACTGGGCTAGAAACCAAGCACAAACATTAAAGTGGCTTGTTTGGTTGTGAGTCAAATATCCATCCACTTACACCGTAATCATGTTCTGCCCAAGGCCTCAGAGACAAGAGAACTTTTTCAAAACTTCTCCCCCACCTGCAGTGCTCCATCATCCTATCTGATCTATTGTTTTCATACATTTCAATCTAAAAATGAAAGGCTGCACTCTTCAAGAAAAACTCTCATTGATTTTAATGGGGCTAATCCCAGGCATCTGGACCAATGTTCCCTCTAACTTTTTCTACCCATGAGCAGAATAACTTTTGTTCTGTGCACCGAGGCATGTGCAGAAGTGCACCACTAGTAGAAACACAGGCTGCTAACTGTGGACACTCTGGTAATCAGCTGGGCGGCATGTAAATCTCTCCTGGGTGGCCGCCCAAGCACTCAGCTTACAGGGAACACTGATCTGGACGATCTACATGAGCAAGAGACTGGACCTTAAGGAAAATGAAAAATAAATATACTGATTGATTTTCAAAGGTTTTATATACCCACAGCTCCCACTAGCATCAACTATGAGTGCTCAGCACATTGGAAAATTAGGACACATGCATGTATATTCTGTTTCTCTTGTCCAAGAGCTGCCTCAGTTCACCTGTGCCCTTTTCCTCCTCTACCTCCAGGAGAATATTTTCTCAGCTAAGTTCCCTACTAAGAGTAGTTAATTTATGAAAGCAAACTATTTAAAATGTTTTTTAGGAAAAAGCAGAACTGACAATCTAGAGACAGCTAATAATCCAGTGTCAAAACCGTGAACCTGAATCAGGGTTAGTTTGTACTATAATGAAAAAATAAATAATCGTTGTTCTGTCATCTGGTCTGTGGTGGCGGCAGCAGCATGCACGCATTCTGGAAGCAAGTTATGTATTGGTGTAAACTGGCACGGTGCCCTGGACAAAGCAGAAGATTTTGATTGCCTCAGCTAGACTAACAATCAAATTAATGGCCTCCTCCATCAGACTGAATACCAAATCATAAATACTATAGACAGTATCTGAATGACTTTGTCCTTGATCTTCCCAGTGTCCTTACTTACACTGCGTGTTAGGTTGTTAATAAAGCATAGTGTAAAAGTAGCCACTGAAGGCTGCACTCACCCGATCTTCCTCTTCTCTGATATCTGGCATGGTGCTAATACAGAGACTGACTGCAGTGATGGCAACAAAGGAGACTGATATACAAGCAAAGATCTTTCCTGGGATCCCTGAGTGAGGGTTCTCCACCATATCCCTGAGCTTTCTCATGCACAAACCCGAACGGCTATTGTCCTGGAAGGCACACTGAGGAGTTTCCCTGATCAGCATCTCCCTCTCATACAGCCTGGCTTCAGCAGCCTCCTCCTCCTTCTGTCGCAATCGCTTCTTACAGCACCATTCCAGGTGCTCCTCTTCTATCCCCCAATACACCAGCTCCTCTTGGAAAGAGAGGGCACACATCTCCCTTAGAAGCCTAAGCTTCCCAGCTGTCAGGAAAGTCATGATGGTCCTGAAGGCACAAGGGTTACGATCGAAAAAAAACTCATTGCAGCTGACATCATAATCATCGCAGATGTCCATGATTTCATCATAGTTGTTACATGATTTTAGTTTTCCAAGCCTGGTCAAAGGGCAGTTCTCCAGTGTGGTCCACGGAATCCTGTATTTGATGCCACCTACATTGATGATCACATGCCTGGTTCGGTCCTCCAGACGGGCCAAGCAGCACAGGTCTTCCCCAGGGTGGAGAAGCTTGGCTTTTTTGTAGAAGAATCCTTTCTTGGTCTGCACCTCGCACAGGTTTTCCAAATTGTTGTACGAATACGAGGTGAAGTTGGGGTCTGCGTTCCCAGTGAGCAATGCCATTTCCTGATACATCTGTTGGGTTCATGGAGGTATCCAGTCTACTCAGAGAAAGAGATTATAAAGCGGAGAGACAAGTGGCCAGTCTGCAAAAAGAAATTTAAAAAAGACAGTTAGGGCTCCAGAAGAGAGAGGGGAAAGAAAAACCCCTAACAATATTTTCTCTGCAGTTTTTACAATTTTGTTTGCATTTTAGGATGAACCTTTTAGGACCCTCTCTGCTTTTATTCCCTTACTTGTGGTCCAAGAAGCATTCCTCACAGCAATCAAATAGAAAGCTGGGTTCATGCCTCTGGAGTCTACTATGCAGCTCCAAATGATAACAGAGAGTGAGTAATGCATCATCATTGCAAAGTGCTCCTTTCTACAAAGGAGTAATGCCCTTGTCAGTCCAAGAGGGGGAGGAGAGGAATGTGTCTGTGTGGCAGCATATTTAAATGGAAATTACCATTGGCCCACAGAGTCTAATACGTTATCAGATAAGGCTTTGTTGAAAGACCTTTTCTTCATTCTAACAAATCCAGGGCATGCGTCTACTACAGCAGGGGTGGGAACCTTTTTTGGGTTGGGGGCCACTGACCCACAATAAAATCAGTCAGGGGCTGCGCACAAATGAGAAACAACAAAAAAGTCACCCCTCACTAACATGGGTTTCCCAATGCTTGGGGGAGCCCTAAGCCTTAGGGGGCCGGATCCAGGCAAGGTGCAATCTGCACCCGGCTCCCTTAGGTTCCCCTCCCCTGTACTACAGAATTATCCAATGGCTTCTAAGTGCAAACCTCTTTCAGAATCAGTGCTCAACCCCTGATACAGATCAAACACTTTTCAGTTAACATGGCTTACACTGTTTGCATATGGCATACAGTTAGTCTCGTTATCACACCGTATGAAAACAATCACATTTTGAACCTTATAATTTGGGAGAATCCAAACAGCAATGCTGGTGTATGGAAATTCAAAGGTGACGGAAGCACTTTGAGAGCTGGAATGCCCTGACCTGCCCAAGTTCCAAAGGAGACTCATTCGCAGTCACAGCTGGAGATAGTTGGACAATGAAGTCTAGGAATGAAGTGAGGCTGGAAGCAGTGTGTAAACAGAGGGCCCTCTTGCTGGGTTAACATGGGGCCAGATGATGTTGCTTTGTTAGGCAATAGCTTTTACTCTTTGAGGAGTCTCACTGAAATTTGCTTCACAAAATCATGCTGGAGTGGAGCACTGGGAACCATATGCTAGTTTGGCTAATGCAGCAACAGATCAAGTACACTGAGGACCAGAGAAGCAAGTGACAACTGCTCTTCCTGACTGACACTGTTACCTAAACACTAGGGATGAGAGAGCCTGTCTGGAAGTCAAGGTGAGTTCTGTCATTGGCCAGGATTTCATCCCAATTCCCTAAGCTACCTATAAATGAGGACAAGTTTCTAACTTCTTGCTCTGAGGGGGAAGTCCCTAGTTGGAAAATCTTTCTTTGTGATGGACCAGGGCAGAAGAGCTTGATCTGCTGTTGTTTTGAATGTATTTGGGCATCATTTGCCGTTCCAAGCTTGAGTTTGCACATCACCTTCGCCCACTACACAGAACCACTCCTCACCTTCCCACCCTACACAGAATCACTGCTTCTTGCACCACTGTCCTCAGATCCCCTAAACTTATTTATTCAGCATCTGCTGCCTGTTATTCTCCTCTCAGTACCACTTGTCTCCAGAGCTCTGAGCCTCGTTGTTCTCCATTCCTGAAGCGGTGCTAATACATCCTAGGAAACGTTACTTTGGAATTACAGCAGGGGAACACTCAAAGGCTTCCTGGCTGTTTAAAGGCCTTTGTAAGAAAGTAAGAAAAATAAATGGGCTTTGGAGCTCTGGGCCTCCAACCAGGAGATATGGATGGAGAGTGGAGAGTGGACTAGTGTGAGGAGTGAGGAGCAATTTTACTTGGAAGAAATGGCAGCTCTATAGCTAGGTGGAAGAGCAGAGAAAAAGCTATGGAACAAGATTAGTTTAACAGCATTGATGGCAGGATGGTGACGGCGAGGCAGGAATTCAACAACTGGATGAATATCACATATTCCAATTAATTTTCCATCTCATCTGGATTCTGGTAAAGAGCTAAACATGAGAGTTCTAGTGGTCAGAGTATCAGACTGGGACTCAAGAGACATGGGTGCTTTTCCTAGTTCTGCTGCTGGCCAGCTGGGTGACCTTGGGCAAATCACTTTGCCACTGTGCACCTCAGTTTTCCCACCTGTAATATGAGATAATGACACTGATCTCCTTCATAAAGCACTTAGACATCTAGTGATGAAAAGTGCAATACAAGACCTAGGTATTATTATAGATTCAAAGACAAAATCGCAGTAGCTGTTCTTTCCTTTGGCCTCAATCAATCCTTAGATAGATTAAACCAAAAGACCCTCCAGCAGCAAATGACGAATGTTTTTAGTTTAGTTGAAGGCATGCATGTACCCTTATTGTCCTCTTCAGTTATAGTTAACTGAATCATGCCTGCATCACTAATATGGATCACATTCTCTAGCCACTACTGGGACTAGGGGAAAAAAGAATATCATAGAATAATAGGACTGGAAGGGACCTTGAGAGGTCATCGAGTCCAGCCCCCCGCCCTCAAGGCAGGACCAAGCTCCGTCTACACCATCCCTGACAGATGTCTATCTAACCTGTTCTTAAATATCTCCAGAGAGGGAGATTCCACCACCTCCCTTGGCAATTTATTCCAATATTTGACCACCCTGACAGTTAGGAATTTTTTCCTAATGTCCAATCTAAACCTCCCCTGCTGCACTTTAAGCCCATTACTCCTTGTCCTGTCCTCAGAAACCAAGAGGAACAAATTTTCTCCTTCCTCCTTGTGACACCCTTTTTGATATTTGAAAACCGCTATCATGTCCCCCCTTGCTATGACATATTAACTCTAACAACAGAGGCACTGCCTACATCCTAAATTAGAACCCTGCAAGAGAAACAAAGTAAAAACGTCTCAAGTCTGAGGTAGCTTCATAAAATTCTACATCATAGAAGGCTTCTGTAGGCTCTGAAGCCAAAGTGACAGAAATTGGATTTCCCTCCACATACAATTTCAACAAGCATAGGGTGGGATTTCTAAAGTTACATACCCAACTCCTATTGATTTTCAGTAGTTTAGTCCTCTACAAAAATATGTGGACAATCTAAGAGTAGATAAATGCTTTGTACTGGAGTTGATGTCAGTTTCATCTTCGATCAAGACAGACAGAGTAAATTATTGGAACTACACAATTCCTTTCTCCACATTTCACAGAACTAAAGTATTTTCGGATGAAAGCGATTAAATGTTCCTGTTTGTAATATGCCTCCCAAATGGAATGACAAACCAAGGCTTGACCCCAAAATAATATTTTATTTTATTAAAAATGTCCGCAGGAAGAAGAGATTTATAGGTCATTCTTTTCGCAGGCTATTTTGCTGATTTTGTAGGACACAGACTGTCTGAAAGGTTTGTCGGATACCCCATAGCATCCCTCTGGCTGGAGGTCCATCTAAGTAGGAGCCACAGTAGGGTAACAATTTTTACTATAGCACAAGTAACTGGTATGTGTTGCATGATACTACAGTTCCTTCCTGAACAGTGCACTGAGAAAAAGATTGCTATGGGAAACTTCCCGAGTCCAGAAGGAATACAAAAGAATAAAGTAGGGCATCGCATAGCAACTTCATCCTGTGAAACTGGTGCCGTATCTCATGGACTTCAGTGCAGCTGGGATTGCAAATACCATTACTGTCATAGTAAGGGTGCGTTGTCAACATAGCATATGCTTTAAGGATGCAGCCTCTTGTTGCTTTTTGTCAGGAAGATAAAATATTCACTGACACTATTCTGGGCATCATGCTTTTGTTGCATGCCTCACTTGTTATACAAGTCAACGTCTGAAAAGTAATGTACATCATTTTGTGGCAAAAAGCCAGGATTTGCTCTCTTCCACCCTGCCCATTAGCATGATGGGGAATAAAAAGACCAATGAATTTCCACTATTATTTTGAAGCTAATGTTGTGTGTGTCCAATTTTCTAGGTGAATGAGAATTAAGCAGCAGCATGATGTGCATGTAGGCTTTTGCATTCAGTTTATGCTGGTCTTTTCATTTCCAGTTCTCTGAACAACAAAGGAGGATATGTTTCATAAAAATCCTGTTGATTAAATATCCAACCTAATGAATCAGGCATTCAGATTTTTATTAAATTGTCGCTGTGACTGGATAGTGTTAGTAATACTAGCTTTTCTCCTCTAGGTCAACAGGCAGAATCTTAGGTAATTTCTGAGGGCTTGTCTATACTTAAAACATAACAGTGCCTCAATTATGCCACAGCAGTGCTTTAGTGTAGACATGAAGACCTAGACTGATCAGAGGCATTCTCCCATTGGCGTAGGTAATCAACCTCACCAAGGGCTGTCTACACAGGAATTTAGGTCAGCTTAACTATGATGCTTACGGGAGCAGATTCTTTACTCTCCTGAGTGACATAGTAATATCAGCTTAATCTTCTAGTATAAACCAGACCTGAAAGTTAGATTGACAACGAGTCTGCTAGTTGGAATGAGTTTGCTAGTGTCTGTTACCTCGCTGTCAGGCAAATGTTTACATAATAAAATCACCATTGCAAATGTCATCAATTGGTACCTTTTTTGGAAGTGTCAGTACAGAGCCAAATTACTCACTAGAAATGGAGCTGCATTACCCTTTACACCAGGTCTACATAGGCCGAGAAAATTGATGCAAGATGCACAATTCCAGCTACGTGAATTTCATAGCTGGAGTTGATGTCCTTTGCATCGATTTTCTGGGGAGGCTCCACAGTGGGAGGTCGATGGGAGAAACTCTCCTATTCACTTCCTTTATTTCTTGCAAACTGTGAGGAGTTCCAGGGTTGATGGAGGAGTTCTCAGCATTCGACTTAGCAGACCCCCTAAATTAAATACCAGAAGACCGACTGCCAGAGAATCAATCTTCACAGAAGTGTAGATGTGCCCTTAGAAGTGGTCCCTCCAGATCATGGCTGAGATATGTTGGTGACACACCGTATGGGAGGCTGCAC